TGATACACAGTTGTTGAAGTGACTATCGACTCTCAACCATGCATCGCTCACGGATCTCGTCACGTACGCGTACAAGAGGGAGGGGTCGCCTTTCGAGTCCTCTAGGAGTTGGCGCCCTCCTACAAGCGTTTGAGAAGTTTGCGGAAAGTGCCGTCAGTAACCAGGCTGAAATTATAGCGCACCTTGACAGATCTTCCACAGCACAGCAGGGTATTGAAAGGCGTCTGCAGGTGCTGGAAGCCAGAGTTGGAGACCAGAGCCCAGTGACATCACCAAGTGTTCAGAGAAAGCAAGTAGAGGCCTCAATGATGGCAGAGGGAAACGGCAACTAGTCGTGTTCGAGGAGCGGAACACGGCTAGAAATGGCAAGGCTCCTGTCATTACATCCCTGGGTGGAGAAGCAGAAGGACTCTTCCTCAGAGGGGTGATGGTTGGCAGGACACTTTTGAATCAGCATACCCAATCTTCACAAGAAGGTAATTGTGTAGGTAAATGTGAGCGAGTTGATGTTGTCATTGATGTTGAATCTCAAGAGGAAAATGTTGGAGAAGCAGGAGAAGTCACAGGCGAGTTCGCTCCGCGTTTAAGGTCGCTGCCTGAAAGAAGCAGCGTAGGATTGTCTGAGGGACAACCAGAAGAAAAGCGGGAGTTGTTACTGAGACGACAAGACCTGTTCTCCAAGGGATCCATGGACTTGGGACAGACAAGCATAGTCGCACACAAGATAGAGACGGGTGATGCTGAACCTAGTTTACCCCTAGCTAAGAGGGAGGAGGCTGTCAGAGCTATTGATGAGATGAAGTCTCAAGGAGTGATAGAGCCAGCATCAGGAGAATGGGGTTCAATGATTGTACTCGTTAAGAAAGATGGCAGTATGCGTTTTTGCGTGGAATATCGATGTTTGAATCGGGTGACAAAGAAAGATTTTTACCTGCTTCCTCGTATTGACGACATCTTAGATGCATTGACGGGCTCCCAGTGGTTTTGCGCCCTTGACCTGTATTCCGGATATTGGCATCCTCGAAGGAAGAAAGGTGTATCACCTAAATTGATGTCGGACTTGTGAGACCCTTACTCTGTTCTAAAGAAGATAAACGATATAGTCTACAGGATCCAGTTGACGAAAAGGAGTAAACCAAGAGTGGTTCACAGAGAACGTCTTTGCAAGTACAAGGGACAGAAGGAGCCCTGGCTCCATGTAAGTGATGATAATTGTTCTTTCATTACCGTAGCAACTAGCAACACAAATTAGTACTGAGGAGCATTCCAAGCTCAGCGAGAGACATCAAGTGTGACAACCTGATGATGCTCTGGATGAAGAACCCTCGAGAGAAAACAGTCACGAGCATCAGCATCGTCAAAGGAAGTCTCCCAATAGATATGGTTGGGATTAGCTGGTAACTTTGACAGCTGTGTATCACGGTTATCACATTGTCTATAATTGTAGTGGATTACATTTACACATAGTTATGGATTATTATTTTAAATCAAGGATATTGTTATGGTTAAGGACTTGGTTTTCATTAAATTCCTTGTTTGTTAGGTTTTAATGGTTATGCTTTTACGACTAGCTGGTTCTTTTCACATTAGCAGAGCTAGAGTGCTTGAAAGTCAGTACCTGTTTCCAGCAGGGATACAGCACAGTTCTGTGTGGGAAGTTTTCAGTGAAGTTGCTGTGTAACTGCTTATAAAACAAATATGGCAGAATTCTTTTTTTTGTATATTGAGATTATAATAAGTTTTTATAATAATATTGCCACAACCTAGTTAGTTGCATTTTCTCTTATTACGGCTATTTATATGAAAGCCAATTTTCTGCATGTGTATACCTAATATACGCATATATGGTTGTACCACTCTGGTACACCTTTTTCTGCAAAAGATGTTATTTTGTTGCAGAAATATCTACTTGGAAGCCAGAATTGGATGGCAGATTTTCTCCATCACGTAGCTGAGGCCTGACGAGCAGATAGTGAGGTACCTTACCGAGGAAGCTTCAAGCCAGGACGCGAGATGCCAGTACCGCAAGACGCCGGGATGCCGTCCCAAAGTATCTTCACGCGTGTTGGATGAGCGAATCTGGTCTCCATGGCAACGTGTGTCGGATGAGCGTATCTGGTCTCTATGGCAACACGTGTCGGATGAGCAAATCTGGTCTCCACGGCAACACGTGTCGGATGAGCGTATCTGGTCTCCATGGCAACGCGGTTCGTGTTTATAATGGTGAACAATTTTGATAATGCCATGCAATTTTATGCAGCCTTACGAAATCCATCAAACTTTGAAAACTTTTATAGTGAACACTTGCATGGACTATAAGTGGAATTTCATCTATTGCATTGATTAGAGGAACAAATAATTGGTGACAGGACTTCATTTAGCTGAAGCAACTTTGGAGACGCAAATGAACTTAAGGAGTCAAACACTTATTCCATTGTGCTGCTGAACTTTTCGAATGAACCAGTCGAACGTAGAACTGAGGGACAAACATTTTGGTGTTATTAGCATTCCTCGATATTGAACTTGTGAAGAGAAACACAAATATTGTTAAGTGTTCTTATAAAGGAGGATTTGTAGGAATCACATTACTATGATGTATCAAAGAGAGTAGAAAGAATGAGAAAACTGAAGTGGCTTTCTCGCATTAGGCGTAATCACAGATGAGCGATTAACTCATCTGAACTCGAAATGTGGAAATTGATTTGTGCCGTTCTGTAATAACAGATAATAGCAAATGGACGCTTTGCCTTTTTTTTCTTTTAATGACTTAAAGTCATTTTGAAATCTATTTGAGATCATGCATGATCATGTTTTTACAAGATCAGGTTATTTTGTAAAAACAATTTTGTTTTGTATAAATTCTACTATATTGGCAGTTGAAATGAGCGTTTCCGCTTTGGCATATAAATTCAGAGTATTGTTATGTTTTTTTTCCAGGGTTGTACTTATGTGTTGTTGGCAACTCTAATTTTGCTAACCAAACCAGTTTAAAATGAACCGAGATATCCCATTTGTTGTTACCAAAGAGGACGAATACCAAACTTGATGGTTATACCAGAATAACCTTTAACTTTTGCCATATTTAAAGGTGATATTGAAAAGAAAAAAAAAAAAAGTGTTTTTGTTTATATCCATTTTTTTTTGTTCTATAGTGATTATTACTTAAGTGTGCAACAGGCTGAACATGTTGACCAGAGTCACCAGACTGATGTGGAACAACAATTATATTCACGTATGATGTATTTTCTTCTGGTATACTGAGAGTTGAAGTCCAGTTTATTGTATTGATATTTGAAATTTACGATCAATGATATCAGGTAAGATGCATATGCTGCATGCTTTGTCTCATTTTGCAAGTGCTTTTATGTATGCATTCGCCACAACCTAAGAATTGTTTTGTGAGGCTGAAACAAAGGTAATTTATGTATGTTTATAAATGACTGTGCCATGCTAATGTGCTACTTTAGAAATTATGATGATTTCTTTCAGGTTTTCCTATTCTGTGTTTTCCATGCTTCACATTTTTAATGATGTTGTTATTTTTTAGATTTAGTATTTTACATTTCTTGTTATCTTTATTGTTGTTTTACTGACAGGTTCCTGTTTTTTTTAAGTTCCTAGTGTTGAACGAGACGTTCAAAGTTAAGGAGGGGGCAGTGTTACAGAAATTGGATGCTCGAACGATTAAAAAGGGAGGTCTGAATTGGAGACTAGCTTTAATTTGGGTGAGGTTTTTGGGAGTGTGTAAAAGTTTGGAGCTGAGGCCGAGGTAGTTTTGAGACAGACAGTTTTTGGAGAACTTAGAGTTAGGAGCTGGGAGGATGTTGCTCGGGAGCATCATCAATTAGCCAAAGGGCAAGAACTAGTATAAATGTGAGTTGAGTGTAACTGTTATTAGGTTGTGGCAAGTAAATATATTGGATATCACCACCATGTTTCTTGTGAATAAACATCAGTTACTTAAAAATCATTGTTCGATAACTCCTTTCTCTCAGAGACTGTAATTGTATGTGTGTATGACTTGGCCCTGGCCTTGCGTGAGCATTAATTTAGGCTAGACTAAACATCTACCCCTGCAGTCTTTAAATTCCCCATTTTCTTATAAAAGAATTCCCAAAAGTTATTACAATACGATAGAGAGACGAGGCCGAGGCAGGCTTGTACTCGGACAAGACGGACACACCCCCTTTTCATGATCTGCGAGCTTGTAAATCAAACTGATAAAGTTAAGAAAGCTTGCCAATGGTAATTACCTAGGCTCAATCATAATTCCTGCCGATATCTTCATGATCTTCAAATCCAATGTTTTCAAAGTAAAATATTTTGTGTGTAATTCATTGATAACCTTGATGAGATAATCCCGAAGCAGTTTTTCTAAGCTATACTGGGCCGGGATGGGATGTGTTGTGACAGCAGGTGATGGTGCACACAACAGAAAGGTGTGAACATCCTTTGATAAAGAAGCTCTTTGTTTCATGTACCGGTTTGTAAAATGCTCAAACTCTCATGGTATGGCGAAATTGCTGATTTTGTCCCCTTTTTTTTCAGCTTTCCATTTCCCACAAGCCTTCATGTCTATATTAAAGAATTAAAGAATACAAGTACTTCTTCAGCAATGCTAAACATGGCATTTACATCCTCCTTTGGTCACAGACAACAACATTTTAAGAACCCCATACTGGTGCATTTCTCTCTTTATATTTCCAACTTGTATCCAATCTTTTCCTGCCATTCTTCCTGTCAGTCTCTCTTCCTTATGCTTTCTCTCTCTATTCCAATATTTCACTTCTCTGCCTTTCTACATCTCTTTTTCTTTCCCTCTATCTCTCTCTACTCCTCTCTCTCTTTTCATCTCTCTCTCTCTGTCTGTCTCTCTTCCTCTCTCCCACTCTCTTCCTCTCTCTCTTCCTCCCTCTCTCTCTCTCTCTCGATAAACTAGAATAATTCTGTATAAACTATTTATAATTATAAATATAACCAGGGCAAAACAAAGTGCAACATTTACATTGGAACAATAAATTTATTCAACCATAAAATGGGAAAATATCTAAATTTTCTGAACTATGTCTCCTCTCCTAGTTGCTGTTTATATGCTTGGAAAAAAAGCAAATTCCTCTGGAGCGCAGTAGTAATATATCCTGTACATCTTTACAGTAACCATCCTAAATTTAAGACTTTGTTGCATTTCAATTTGATTACTGTGGTTAAATTTCAAGTAATGTTAGTACGGTCTTCATTTTCAGAGTATGTAACTTTCAACTGACTTGATTTCTCAACAGAAGGCAATGACTGATATACAGGTAAAACGTCATGGCCTCAATATCACTGATTGCTTTCAGTTAAGCTTTGTGGAATGCTACAGAATGAGTATTTAATTGAAAAGAAAATAAAGTTTCCTCACATCATCATATTAAGATTAATCACATATCATCCCCCTAAAGCTGTGAAAGAGGTGAGACTCAGTTCGTAATCTTGACTGTAAAAGGTAAAATAATATACTAGATTATCAAGAATGAGTTAATTGACAAATTTTTCCTCTTAACGATAGCCTTTTATTGCTGGCAGCTTCACAAGTACAAGCTTTGAATACAATGTCAATGCTTAAAACCCCAAGTTTGCATGAACACAAGTAGCAAACCAGAGAAAATGTTTTAGACCTGCTCCAGATATTGATATAATGAAAAGCCTTCATCCATAGGAACTGACATCAGTAACATTATTGTAACACAATGAATATTATATAGGGTCTATGCTTGAATGCCATTCTGAAAAGCACCCAAATAAATATCATTTTCCATATTGAAGGGGGTAAAGTAATATATATCACTAAATCACACAAAGTATTTCAAATCCACTAGACAAATCTCATATAATCTCTTTTTTTTTCATGGGTGAAAATTTGATAACATTTGGAAAAAAGAAACGGCACAATCTAATTCCCACATGAATATTTTGTTCCTTTTCAATATTAAAACGGTTTTCAGAGGATGGTTCTTAAAACTGCTCCCTGTATACCCTGCTCATGCCTGGCCAATCTTTTCCATTTCCTGGAAGAAAATTTGAAAAAAAGGGGGGGGGGGGGGAAAGAATGATTAGAATCTTTTTACACACGTAAATCACAAAGCAAATGGCTTAATATCTGAAAAATCATTTCCACAAAATTTGACAGTCTTCTAAATCAAAGACATAATCTTATTCAAATGACAAACAGAAAAAATATTTTCTGGACATTGATGCAAAATAAAATGCTAGATTATTATGCCTGTGGACCATATGATATGTTATCGTATCTTTATTACACTCAAAGGTGTGGCCCTTTAATATCAGAAATGAGGCAGAGAAAGAACGAAAGTAAGACAGAGCTACACAGTTCAAAGCGAAAAATACTCCTGGGAGGGTTACAATTTGCAGCACTTATAAACACAATGTACTATTATTAAAATGTTATACAAAATCTGGAAACTCCTGGTGCTTAAATATAATACTTTTTCAGCTATATAATTTTTCTCACAAAGATGTACTCATAAAGAAAGAATCTTTTTAATGTGGTTTGTTTTTTATTGAAATAAGAATCCACACATCCCCAGAGCAATTGAAAGCTTGTCAACAAATGGTAGACTGGTGAACTTACTTTCAGTATTGTTGTTCCCATTTGAGCTGGAGACATAGTAACAACGACACCTGCATCCTTGAGAGCCTGGATCTTCTCTGTAGCTCCACCTTTACCTCCAGAGATGATAGCTCCAGCATGTCCCATCCTCCTGCCTGGTGGGGCAGTCAAACCAGCAATGAAGGCTGCTACTGGCTTAGCATCAGGACCCTGCAGAATCACATCAATTATTTAAGACAGGTATTGTAAAAGTAATCAAGTGGTGTAATATTGAGAATGCAGAGGTAATGGTTTTGAGCTCTTATAATATATCCATAAGCAGGGCATTTTATACACCTTGCTTCTCTTAAAGACCGTCAATACTACTGGGCCAGAAGGGATTAGACCACACAGCAAGGTCACTGACAGGTGGCTATCTCAATAACTCAGCTCTCAACTAACATAAGAAAAAAAGGATCATGGGGGACCAACAGGAACCGATTGGGGAAGTTTTCTATATAGAGGGAGCAAGTAGCTACAAGTAGGACAGTGGGGCTTTAACCCAGGTGCCAAATGGATATCTACAGTCATCTTTGAGTCTTATTTCATCATGGAACTTGTGGTAAAAATAGAAAAGTGACTAAACTACATAAATATCTGTAAATTACATTCTTGTTCATGTAATGTTTCTGCAGTATAAGTTACACTCCTACAAATTTAAGAGGAAGCTCATAAAAGGTGTACGGATGTGTGATCAGTTACAACAAACAAATATTTGGTGAACTTTTTGATGCCTGAACTATTGTTGCCTTAGCCCCATGAACTTGCAGGAAAACGTTACTGACTATAGCCTCTTTTAAATATGAAATGGTAGTTTTCATAAAAGAAAACACAACCTATAATGGCAAAATAATATTACATGGGTGTAGCATGAACCCCAAATATGGATTTTGGATCTGAGTATGTGAAGGGGCCTATGTTGCGGGCAGCTACTCCTACATTTTCTTTTTCATCCACATTTTTCATGCATTCACATGTATAACAGTTTTCTCTTGCATGTTTATCATGTCATATGTGAACTGCACATAGGACTCACTGAATTATGCTGTTTGAGGAACTCTGCTGCCTTCTCCTCAGCTCCTCCTCCAATCTCACCAATAAGAACGATGCCTTCAGTAGCAGGGTCATTGAGGAAGATTTCTAAACAATCTACGAAATTGGTTCCATTGAAAGGATCTCCTCCAATACCTTCATTGGAAGACAAACAGGACAGATAAAATCAGAGTTGGACAATCATCTGTGAGAACAAAGCTAGAACACTATTCCTTAGTACCATGTGGAAATAAACCAAATCTGCTGTTGCTAAGATAAAATACACTTTGTAATATTCCAAAAATAAACTTAATGAAAGAGTTGATATGATAGGACTATTAATTTTGATTTCAAATTATCAACCTAAGTTTCTTGAAACGTTTATCTTAAAATCTGACATGTAAGAGAAATATAATCCATTATGTGTATTTTTGCCTTCAGAGAGAGAGAGAAAGATAGAATGGGAGTGATTGATGATGGAGGGGATATATGGATAGAGGAAGTGTGGAAAATGGAGAGAGCTGAGAAAGGAATAAAACCAGGAGAGGTAGGGGGAGGAGAGAATGACAGCAAGAGTGAGAGAGAAAGAGAAAAAAAGAGAGAGACAGAGAAAGTGAGGAAAAGGGGCAGGGGGAACAAGACAGACCAACTGACATACACAGATTGACATGGAGCAAATGAAAGGAAATATATATATATATATATACGATTGCAAAACAAACTTACCGACACATAGTGTCTGGCCAAGTCCCACTGCTGTTGTCTGGGCAACCGCTTCATATGTGAGTGTTCCTGATCGAGAGACGATGCCTATCTTACCCTCTTTATGAATATGACCAGGCATGATGCCAATCTTACAAGCTCCGGGCTGAAAATTCAAAAACGTAATGGCAGAGATTCATTTTATCATTCCAATATAATACACAATAATTACTGAAAAGTAAGCTTTATGTTCACAAAAGTCCACAAATAAGCCAATTTTGTTACATGTAATCTTGAATTATGGTAACAATGACAATAATATTCACACACAATCCTATTTTTGAATAACAAAGTGAAATTCTGTTTTCACGACTGGAGGCTTTCGGTAAAAGTATAATTAAATGTATACAATTTGCATTTACAGAGTGATAAACAAAGAGAACCAGGAATTTCTAGAGCTGCAGAACCCATGATTGATCAATAATGTCTTGTTCACCTGAAATTTAAGTAAAAGTTTGTCTATTATTATGTTGCTTGTCCTCACGATCAATTCTTGTTCGTTCCATAATCAAACAATTCAGAATTTACTTTTGTACAATAAAAATACTGCTCTAAAATGACTTGTGGATTCTCATAATAATACTTCTTTCATGATTTTGTTTTAGATAACTGTTACAGCCCTATGATTGTTTTGACATCACCAAGTTCACGTAAAATAGGAATCAGGAGTTACTTTTTATACTTTCTACAAATTTTTTTTACACAGAAAAAATAGGAGTAAAAGTGGGTTACTTACGGCAATGATTCCTGGACAGTTGGGTCCCACAAGCCTTGTCTTGCTTTGCCTGGAGAGTCTATGTTTAACTTTGACCATGTCTTGCTGTGGGATACCCTCTGTGATACAGACAACCAGACCAATCTCAGCATCGATGGCTTCCATGATTGCTGGAGCAGCAAAGGGAGCGGGCACATAGATAACCGATGCATCACATCCAGTCTTTGCTTTTGCCTGTGCAGCAGAGTGAGTGAGTGAGTGAGTGAGTGAGTGAGATAGAGAGAGAGAGAGAGAGACAGAGAGAGAGAGGGAGACAAAGAGAAAGAGAGAGACAGAGACAGAGACAGAGAGACAGAGAGACAGAGAGAGAGAGGCAGAGAGAGAGAGGGAGAGAGAGGGAGAGAGAGAAAAGGATAGAGAAATATGTTGGTAAGTACAGTGTATGTCAGCAATTGAAGAAATGCCACAATGGCAACATTTCAGGCAATGTTAAAAGGTCAAATGTTATGGCAGCTTCATTCAGAAAAGTGCATTTTAAGTATGAAACAATGAAAAATAAGTACTTATGAAATTTTCAATGAACATTTGCATGTACATGTATGTTGTAGATTAATAGATTATGAGGTTATCAACCATTCCATTTTTTGTTTAATTCCACACTGGGATAATGTTTGAAGGAGTATCTTATGATTATGACAAACTGTCACAAACATAAATCATGTAGATACATGTCACTTTCAGTAGGTTACACCATAAATACTGAACTGTAGTAGTAGCAGTAGTTCTAAGCCAGCATCTAAGTGCAAGATTCAGTCAGTGATAGTCTCATTAAGATATTTTATTACATTTCTTGTTCCATGTTTATAGTACATCTAAGCCCTATAAATAAGGGCACATGGCTCCATTGCCAATATCTTTGCGATTATCTTCAACAACTAACTAAATTCCTTTCTTCCTCCCTGGATGCCCACTATACCTAACTGTAAACCTTTCCTTAAACCCAACAGCAACCTTTGTCATAAACCCTACATCTTTTATATGAGCAGTGGACATGTCAGACTACCATCAAGTTTGGCCTACTATAAGCAATTTTAAGTTCCAAGAAAAGTCATCTGAGTAAATGTGGTTTCTTTTATGTCTAAAAAAACTATATAAATATTGAACTTAGCCTTCTGTGAGGGTACAACCATACACATGGTCCATTTTAGGTCTATGAACGTTCCAGGAATCATAACGGCTTTAGAGCTTACCTCATGACAGGAATCAAAGACTGGTAGTCCACATGATACCTGGCCACTCTTGCCTGGTGTGACACCTCCTACCATATTAGTGCCATACTCAATGGCTTGGGTTGTATGGAAGGCACCCTGTTGTCAAATCAAACAAATATAATATTATCATTCAAGATGGTGGATGGTGTTGCTATGTAAGCTACTCAATAATATATGTGATAAACCATCCAGAATTTAAGTCACTATTTCCTGAACTTCTGTGCCAAGGGTGGAGAGTCATTTTAATGTTGCTGAATGTTTCTACTAGGGTTCGTTCTTCCTCCTAAAACAATAATACATACCTGTAAAATAAAATAAAATCCCAACTTTAAATATTTGACTCCTTAAAGAAGCTTCTCGGAAACAGTATTGTTCATTACATTGGTAACAACAATGTTATGACGTACGTCATTTGGAGTTGTTGTAGGTGCAATTTTTTTCCAATGTCATTATAATCCAAAATGGCGGCTCGCATGTTTTACCTCTTCTCTTAGATTAATATAATTAATATCAAAGTCATGAAAAGGCACTTAATATCAATTAACATGGTCTACAACCACTCCAAATGACAATAAAATCCCAGCTAGGCATGTTTTTAAAGTATTTGATAGCCCCAAATTTGAAAAATTCCAGGCTTTTTTTTCCTTCTCCAATCTTTTTTCAATTTTTGACATTTAACAGCATGAAAATAGCTTTAAAAATGGCCTACAACAGCTTCAAATGAGAGAATTATCCAAGGTAAGAGGGATTTTAGGTATCGGAGTGCTCAAAATTGTCAAATTTGTGCAATTTTTTTTTTTTGAGGCAGATTTAAAAAAAATTATCAGATTTCCCTCCCAATCTGCAGATATTGGAAGCTAAGCTGATTCGATCATCCAATCCGATCATAGCTCCAACTTACAGGGTTATGTAATGGTCTAGTAGATACATTGCTGGACTGTGAATCATATGATTTGCGGTTCAAGTCAGGCTGCAGCACTAATGTCCTTTGGTAAGAAGATATCTACATTTGCCAATTTTCACCCAGGTGTTAAAAAAAAAATGGTTATTTGTAGGATGAAATTCTTTGAATGCTTGAGTGTCGCTTCATGGTACCTCGGCTAAAGCCTGGGTAATAATCGGATTGCAGGGCCCTCGGGGATAACAGTATTGATACTGATGAGGCTACCCTGGGTAAACAAGACTTATTATTATCATCATCATCATTTTTACTATCATTATCACAATAATATAGTCAGGACTCTTTTGGAACTAACCTGTTTGCCTGTGATTCCCTGGCAGATAACCTTGGTGGTTTTGTTAATCCCTAGATTAGGTCTTGTTTCGGTGTAGCAATTCCTTGTACCAAACCTTGTCAGGGCTGCATGGAATATAATAAACAAGAAAGTAATACAATAAAGGGGGATTCTTAGATATATCATGGGCAACATATCTCTTTATCACGTCCTCCCCTGTAAATAAATCAGTTGCATAATTGCAAGACATAATTACTCAATATTAAATTACATTAAAAGTAAAATATCAACATGACTGAAATTCAATGGTGATCCAAACTTTCCACAACTAGTTAGGGGGAAAGAAAAAGAAGAGGAAGAAGGAAAACAAAATCCGAATAAAAAAATAGGATAATTCTACAGTTTCTGCCCAAATTAGTTCAACTTCGAGAACATCCTAAAAATGCTCTAAAATGATCTCAAAAGATACTACAGCAGCCAAGAAATGGAGGTATCTGGTATTGGCGCTTGTAATGGTATTGTGCAGCAGTTTGGGCACTCATGTGAACTTGCACGACTACATACATACACACGGTTAGAAATAGGATTGCATTGTCCTGAAAAAAACCCTTAAAGTCAAACAAACAAGCTTCAGAGTTGACATTGGACTAGACTAGTTATTCTGCATCAAGAAGGTATTGTTGAACATTTTAGAGCATTTTTAGGATTTTAACAAATTTGGGCAGAAACTGTAGTCACTAAAAATAGAGGCTTTCATCGAAAGGGTGCGGTGCGGCACGGCGCGGTGTGGTGTGCTCAACGCAACCATTCGATAAAAGGCCCCCCCGCTTTTCTCGAAAGGGTGCGTTGAGAGCGGAGTACCGTTTTAACACACCCTTTCGATAAAAGCGGGGGGCTTTTCTCGAAAGGGTGCGTCGACTAGTCTTTCGCATCAGTCGTTTAAAATGAGGATCTGGGACAGAAGGTAATAGTTGCCAATTTAAGTATATCGAAAATGTATTAAATAAAATGGAATGGTCTTGATTACAGAGTGTTCTCTTTCGTCATTACTATGTTGATGGGGAGACAGAGAAGGAAAAAAGGGAAAGGGAAAGGGAAGATAAAAGGAAAGAAATAAGAATAAGAAGAAAAGAGGGAAACGGGGGGGGGGGGGGCGAAGGGCTCTTGGCTCCTCCTCACCCCCCCCCCCCCCCGCCAAAAAATAAATAAGAGAGAGAGAGAAGGGAAAGGGAAAGAAAATATAAAAGGAAAGAAAGAAGAAGAAGAAGGAAAGAGGGAAACGGAGGAAGGGCGAAAGGCTCTTACCTACCCCCCCCCCCCCTCCCGCCAAAAAAATAAATAAGAGAGAGAAGGGAGGGGGAAAGGGAAAGAGAAAGAGAAGATAAAAGGAAAGAAAGAGGAAGAAGAATTTGTGTCCTGCCACTGTCACAAATAAGGTATAAAATTATGCTCATCCGACGTTAATTTTGATGTTTAATAATGAGCTTCTGAGGGCTCCGCCCTGTGAAAAAAATGTGTAAAAACACGTTAATTTTACCGTTTTTGGGAGATAGGCCCCCCCTCCCTGGCGTTCAAGGGGGGGGGGGGGGTGGTACGATTTTTCGAATTTTCGAGGGCCCCCCAAAAAGATTAGTGCTCTCTAGTAATTTCGCGACTACTCCGGAACCGCGGCAGATATAAAGTTTTTCTTTCATGACTTTTTTCTTTCGAGTCTTACGCATCTTTTGAAACATTTTTTTGTTGAAAATTGGACGTATAGTTGCGGAGTTACGTGACCTTTTGTTTTTGCAGGTCAGCCCTAAAATCGCTCATTTTTGTGATTTATGTACCAAACATATGGAAATACCATTTATTCTTTTAAAAAAAGAGAAAACATTGGTTATTTGGTCTTGTTTCAAGTTAATGTGTTTGTTTTGGGGTCAAAATAGTTGAATTGTGCTTAGAAATGAAATAAAACAACATAAACAATATAATACATGATTTATGGGTAAAAATGTGAATTCTCTGATCTTGTTTGCATAAATTACCATAAATATGCAAATGAGTGAATTTTTTCAAAAAAATTGAAATTACCATAGTTTTGTATACACTTCACTTGACATGCATGCACATTTTTCGCGGCGATCGGCTGTAAAACGGCCGAGATCTTAGAGGGGGGACCCCCCCCCCCCCCACCCTCAAGTTTACTCCAATCACATTGAAAAAAAGTATGACTTAAATCATCTCTCTCATCATTATACCGCTATAGTATTCATGTTTTTAATATTATTTATTGTCCTTCCATTAAACAAGTTCATAGAGAAAATACTTATCTCTCTGCAACATTAAAAAAGAATCTTCATTAATATGTCTTAATTTGTATTGATAGCCTTGTGGTTGCCAACAGTGGCGTAGGTGGGGGCGTCTCCAAAGGGGGGTGTGGGGGTTCAACACCCCCCCCCCCCCACCTGTCAGGATATTGTCGGTAAAATTGCGCTGCCGTCGGGAAAAAAGAGAAAAGGGGGAGGGGAAAAAAGAGAGGGAAAGGGAAAGAAAAGAAAAAAAGAAAAAGAAAACAAAGAAAGAGAAAAACGAAATAGAGGGAGAATGGGAAAGAAAGGAAAAAAAGAAAAGAAAGGAGGCAAGAGCCCTTTGCCCCCGTTTCCCTCTTTTCTTCTTCATCCTCTTCTTTCTTTCCTTTTCTCTTTCCCTTTCCTTCTCTCTCTCTCTCTCTTATTTATTTTTTGGCAAGGGGGGGGGGGGAGGAGGCAACAGCCCTTCGCCCCTGTTTCCCTCTTTTCTTCTTATTCTTCTTCCTCTTCTTTCTTTCCTTTTATCTTCTCTTTCCCTTTCCCTTCTCTCTCTATCTCTTATTTATTTTTTGGCGGGGGGTGGGGAGGGAGGAGGCAAGAGCCCTTTGCCCTTCCCACGTTTCCCTCTTTCCTTCTTATTCCTCTTCTTTCTTTCCTTTCATATTTTCTTTCCCTTTCCCTTCTCTCTCTCTCTCTTATTTATTTTGGTGGGGGGAGGGGGAAGGTAAGAGCCCTTCGCCCTTCCCCCGTTTCCCTCTTTCCTTCTTATTCCTCGTCTTTCTTTCCCTTCCCCTTCTCTCTCTTCTTTCCCTTCCCCTTCTCTCTCTTCTTTCCCTTCCCCTTCTCTCTCTTCTTTCCCTTTCTCTTCTCTCTCTCTTATTTATTTTTTTGGCGGGGGGGGGGTGTGGTAAGAGCCTTTCGCCCTTCCCCCGTTTCCCTCTTTCCTTTTTTCTCTTCTTTCTTTCCTTTTATATTTTCTTTCCCTTTCCCTTCTCTCTCTCTCTCTTGTTTATTTTTGGTGGGGGTGGGGGGGAGGGGGTAGGTAAGAGCCCTTCCCCCTTCCCCCGTTTCCCTCTTTCCTTCTTATTCCTCTTCTTTCTTTCCCATTCCCTTCTCTCTCTCTTATTTATTTTTTTGGCGGGGGGAGGGGGGGGGGTAAGAGCCTTTCGCCCTTCCCCAGTTTCCCTCTTTCCTTCTTCCTCTTCTTTCTTTCCTTTTATATTTTCTTTCCCTTTCTCTTTCCTTTTATATTTTCTTTCCCTTTCTCTTTCCTTTCTCTCTCTCTCTTATTTATTTTTTGGCGGGGGGGGGGGGGGGGGGGGGTGAGGAGGAGGCAAGAGCCCTTCACCCCCCCCCCCCCCGTTTCCCTCTTTTCTTCTTATTCTTCTTTCTTTCCTTTTATCTTCCCTTTCCCTTTCCCCTTTTTCCTTCTCTCTGTCTCCCCCAACATAGTAATAACGAAAGAGACCATGCTCTGTAATCAAGACCATACCATTTTATTTAATACATTTTCGATATACTTAAATTGGGCAACTATTACCTTCTGTCCCAGATCCTCATTTTAAACGACTGATGCAAAAGACTAGTCGACGCACCCTTTCGAGAAAAGCCCCCCCGCTTTTATCGAAAGGGTGTGTTAAAACGGTACTCCGTTCTCAACGCACCCTTTCGAGAAAAGCGGGGGGCCTTTTATCGAATGGGTGCGTTGAGCACACCACACCGCGCCGCACCGCACCGCACCCTTTCAATGAAAGCCAAAAATAGAACCCCCACACACAAAAAAAAAAAAAAAACAGACTCCTTCACAAAACAAGCTCAGAATTTCATAAATCTGAAACTGAAAGTCCTATTTTTTTTGCCAATGCCATGGCAATGAATTCAAATTCAATGTTGTTAACTTTAATTTCAAATGACAAGAGAATTAGACTAGACTCTAGACATGCTAGAGTTCTAAATCTAGAGTTAGATTTAGAATTAGAGGTCTAGATCTATAATCTATCCTAGAGTCTACAATACATTCGTAAATACTCTTTACATATTTTGTATTCATCAATCAGTCAAAGTATAAGAATTAAGAACGGTATTATTCTTGGGCGATAATTGATGGTTGTCCAGGGCCAGTCGGACATGTCGATAAATTACAGGAATCACCCTACAGAAAACTGACATTACACAAATCGCCATGGATGGGACCAAATTCATGACCAACAATGTGCGCACATCAAATACGCATATAAATCTTAAATTCGAAGAAATAAAAGTTACTTCATTGAAACCGCAATATAATCATGAGGAATCTAAGGTCATATTCACAGTGATTTGTTTCAATTATTAACACTTACCAAGAGTTCGAGCAAATATTCTGCTAGTGGACGCCATTTTTCTTCCACACACCTCGACGACTAGCATTCAATCACAGACGTTTCGATATAATTATTTTCTAAGAATTAAAATCCTAATATGAATATTGAGCCAAAATAAATTTTGTCTCATTTCTAGATAAAATATATTCTCTCTTTGCCAATTTAAATTGCTAAAACGTAATTTTTGTGACATCAAAATAATTTATTCTGGTTTTGTTTTTATCTTTTATTTCGACGTTCTCAATTGAGGCTATTAACATCCAACTTGAGATTTTATTTTAATTTAGGAGCGGCGTTGCCGGTACCGGTACGTTACCGTGTAGATTAGAACTTAGGCTTTTAATGCTTCGACCTGGAGGAATCATTTGATAAGACTTTATTCTGTCGAATTACTGCTACAAGTATATCATCTTCCAAGAAATGGCTACTCACGTTGGCCCAAGTACAGACCGACACCTAGTAGATGAACTAGAAGCAGCTTTTAAGGTATACAAAAATAGAATAATGATGATTTGTCTCTTTCTTTGTCATTAATGATTGACGAATGTCAAGATGATGAAGAAAAACATCCTTCGTGTCACTGATGAGTGATACCGCTTAAGTGGGATGCTAGATGCCAAGCTTTGTTTTCTACCATTACTTGTGTTCTTGATTTCTATGGTTAGTCCATGATGATCATGAGTTGAGTCAGTCACTTTGCCACTAATTTTGTGAGCATAATTTCAAGTTTAAGATTTAAAAAATTATTTGTTGATGGGCTAAATGAGATTTGTGTTTATTATTTTTCCAGTGTCGACCCTGTTGAATGTATGATGACCAATGTTTGCTGAGATTCAAAACAATATTAGGAATGTGATATTTGATCCAGTTTTTCACATTTATCTAGACCTATTTATAATTTAGTTCAATTATTACCAAATGGACAGCAACATTTTAGACTAAAAATTGGTGCATTTTTCTTCAAAAATTCTGGGGATATCATGTCGATCTCAAAATTCAATGTCAGTTCTGAATTGCACTGCAACTGACAAAAAAAGTTGTAAAAACAAGGTGACCTTAATTTGCGCACCGGCGTTTACAGTTGATTTAATTTTTTTTTAATGATCCATCATTGCAATGCATAAACTATTAACCAATCAGTTAGTGTCATTTTTTACTTACAATTTTGATGAAGATTCTCAGACCCTTGCCTTTAAGTTTATATTTTTTGGAACGGATGCAAAAAAACTGCAAAATTTGCCAATCTTTTGTAAATATTTTCATATGGTCACACTCAATTCTAAAGAAAATTTGATCACTTCGTAATTTTGTGTCCCTCTGTCCATTGCTGATGTCAGACTTCGAAATCTTACCAATTTTTTTTAGAGATAGGGAACTGTCCTCAAATTAAGATCACGCTTGAACCGTGTTTACACCATAATCATGCATACGTGTAGGTCTTAGCTTGTCTTTAAAATGAATAAATTGATAATGCATTTGCAAATTTTGTGCATATATAGGAATTGGAATCTTGTTTTTGTGCTAGGATTTCTTTTACTCATTTGCAATTCTATTTTAGCAGTTAGGTTATGGTTATGCCACTGTAAAATATTATGGGTCTATAGATGAATTGAAGTTTGGTATTTGGTTATAAATCTTTGTTCAACATCGTTGTGCTTAAATTCATTACTATTAGCATCGTGTAAATATTGTTACTATGATCTTTACTATTATTACTATCATAACTTACAAGTTTTCTCACCATACATGTATATGCACTGAAACAGCAGTAATGTTTGAATGTTTGATCCTCTTTTCTCTTCTTTCTGCAGGCATGTTTGTCTCCATTAGTTGCTCAAGAGAATGTACACGTCAGTGATCAGGTAGAACTCAAGACAAGTAAGTCTACACTTTCACAGTTTGTTGCTGACTACTTAAAAAAGATATGACAGAAGATTTGGGGGAAAGAAATACATAGATCTATATAAAGAGTGATAAATGTAACAAAGAAGGGGAATACGTGCAGATAAGATTCTGATATCAGCATGCAGTGTGTCCCGTACGACATATGGCATTTATCCATATATTTGATTTCATCCATGAATGAAAAAATCTCTATCATGAACTTTACTTATAGTAGAGATACCAGAAAGCACTATTATTCAATTGTGATATCAAGAGATTCTTCATTTGTGGATGAAATATGTGGAAAAAACACACCTATATTATATTGCACACATTGCAATGAATTGCATAAATATTAATCACCGTCTTTACAAAATAACAATTATCTTTGAAAAAGACTTATTTGTAGGTGTTTTTCAATCTCCTTGCCTTGGATACTCGGGATTTTTCATAATATTATTGTTTACTTGCAGGGCAGTAGCAGATTTAACTTATAGAGTTAAACCTGGTTTAAGTTTATCCAATAATATATATTTTTTTTAATCCAGTCATGCAATAGAAATGAAAGGAAATTTGATGCTGCAATTTTTTAAATTTTTATAATCATGTTACTATTATTTGCTGTTGTTGCTTATTTAGTTAAGAAATATGGTAATATTTCTGAGATGACAAGGTTGACACTTGGTGCTCCATAAATCGGTAGACTAAAATTATGTATCTATAAAAAACTGAACTGAAGAGAAGTTAGTATGCTTTTATTAACACTAGCCAGAGGGTTTTATACGTCATAAAATGAATGCTCAAAAATCTCTTTCTTAACATACAGGTGTTGACCAGTCCATGCAAAGATACCAAGAACTTGCCAAAGAGACAGAGAATTTCTTTCTTCAACGTCAGATGCTGATGGCTACCACCAAACCAGAGAGCATCATCAAAGAGGTGAGGTCTTAAAACACAATCATCATTTCAACCAGAGTTGATGATGATTGCTGTTTGTACATTTTACAAGTGCCAGCTATTTTGTTTACAGATTTGGAATTGCAGGATAACAATTTAAATTCTGGAAGTTTTTTCCATATATTCTTTATTTTATTTTGTAGTTTGTTATAACAGGCAGAAATTTATTGGATGGGTTTTCAAACTTTTCACCTTTTCACAGGAAGAAAGTAATGGTAAAAGCAGTATTTACTTTTTCATCAAACCACAAAAGTCTACAACTTTATTAATCCATGTCAAAATTTGAATGGAAAACACCTGCAGAAGAACAAATGGTCTGGACAGTTACCCGAATTTATCCCTTGTTTGACATGTGGTTAACTATTACTGAGTCAGAGTGCAAGTATAATTCCAGAATAAAACAATACTTTCAAGATCAAGCTAAAAATGTTCTCTTTTTTTTCCTTTCTATTTCTTGATCAGGAGATAGATGAGTTGAAGGCTGAACTGACGAGGAAAAACGCCCTTCTTCAGAAACAACAAACCAAGGTCAACAATTGGCTTGGGATTCTCCAATCCTTAGAATGTGGAGGACCACCACAACAGCAACCACACGCACAACAACAGCAACTCCACCATGGTCAGATCCAGCAACAGCAGCAACAGCTTGCCAGAGGAACCATGTCTATCCCATCTGGAAACATTCCCCAGCAACAGAGTGGTGGACAGCAGCATCATGGAGTGGTAGGAGCTGCCAGCATTGCTGGTGGTGGAGATGCTACTCCGATTTCAATAGCCACAACTCCACTCTCTGGACCATTAGCCCATTTAGAGCAAGCAACTTCAAATATTGGTGGTTTTGATCGCAGATGATCCACAGACCAAAATGATGGACCCAAGATCTAGGACAGCTGGCTAATTTTGGCCATTATTAATGAGGGATTATGGACCCTTTTACATCAATTTTATGATGACTTTGTACCAAACGAGCTATTGAAATGTACAAACGTTCAAATACAAACCTCTCTATGCCATAAGATGAATGTATCGTTGGCTGAAATTTGATGCTGAGGACAAGTTTACAAGGTTGAACCATTGACATGACTTACAAAATAACAAGGTAGCTTACATGGATAAATTGAGATAAATGGCATTAAACTGCACCCCTTGTTACATTCAGAAAACTTCGTTATTTTTCATTTTAATGGAAAGTATGTTAACCCCTTGTCTACTTTGTTTTTTCAATCTCATGCGTCTTAATACATAAGCCACCCAGTTCCGTAAGCAATGGGTTATTGGAAATTACAAATTCAAATTGCACAGAATAAACATATTGTGTTTGCGCACATGGCTCTCTAAAATATACATTTGGCCTGCCAGCTTTGCGCAGAGATCAACCAATGACTTGCCCTAATTTAGATTTCTTACGACTATTAACATCCCTTTGATAATGTAAAATGTGGCATAGTGTTCAGAAAACTACCCCTACTATTGCAGGAATAGCAGCTAATATCATTTTTGAATCACTAGTTTTGTTGTCGTATGATATTATTGTGGGTGTTCTGTCCTGTTTTGAATAGAATGCTATTGTGCCCATGCTCTTTCAGCTTCTACTCAACCCAACTTGCTATAAAAATTGAAATTTCCCCTTTAATGTTAAAAAATCACATTGGAGTTAAAAGTTGCAACTCCTAAACAAAAAAACATCACAGGCTTTTCTCTCGAGGAGAGATCCAAGGGTCAAAGTTATTACATTCATTATTCCCCTTCCGAGCCCAGATGAGTCAGATCATTGATAATACTAAAATGGCATTATTTGCCAAGAACTTGTACATACCGTAGATCTATGTATACACTGCATTATACAAATCATGTCAATAAACTTCCTTGTATATATATATACATGTACATATATGTGGTGTGCAATTGTGCATGATTTGCTTTGTTTTGAGTAGACACATCTTCAAAGCATTAAACTCTGCAATTGAGCTCTTAAATGTTGAATATACTGGTAGCTACAATTACATGTACAGTGAGTGAAGAATGAGTACTGTAATTATATTTCAGGTGAAGCATTATTTGTCTCGCTTACTGAAGGTCAAGGCAAGGCTAAAGGATTCAAATAGCATCCGGCCGTCTGTCCATCATAAATTTTAAAGACCCTTTCCGATGAAATTACAACTTTATATCATTGGAAAGCTGAATGAACGTAGCAGATATGAAGAAATTAACAAAATTCAATTTCAGTTTTGCACAAAAGCAAATTAAAACTTAATTTCCTGCTCCCACTCAAAATCCTGAGTTGAGAGGGGTTAAATTTGCCACAGTAACAGTGAACCTGATCGGCTCGCCTATGTAGCCGAGGCAATGAGCCATGCTTATTTAATGCAAAGTCATTGAGAATATGCGTACTCCACATAAGATGTTATAAAGCCGATAGCCAGTTTTTAGGTCGACAACTTGATTTTCAAAGCTTTAGATTTTTAGTTGTCAGAGAGCCGTTACTCCTCTGATGGACACTAAAATAGCATATAATTGATATTATTGTAATCTATGGCTTATAAGCTTTCTGTTGATATATAAATCCTCTATTTAATTTGACACTTCCAAAAGGGTCTTTAAAGTTTACCTACCCCTCTCTTGCTTTGGTGAGTTTTGACATCAAATTTTGATAGATTTTTGTATACCAGTAATTCTTCATCAGAGTGTAAACATGTATTGTCCTCATGACCAGTTTTAAAGTACTGTAAACGGGAAAATATTCGCGGTACATTAATTTTCACGGATTTCGCACTAAGAGAGGCAAGCACAAATTTTAGAACTTGCGAAAATATAAGCATGACTTCTTATGCCTGTCTTGAACAGGCTGAATTGCGTGCAATGCAAATTTAAGGACCGCGAATATGTTTTGGGGTCGCTCAGCGCAAAAAATTAACCATGCAAAAATATCAGCGTTTGTAGTAGTCACCCGAAAAAAATTCACAAGTGATAATTATGGATTAATTATATGGAAAGATTTTCTCTTGAAAAACACATAATTTGGTGAAAAAAATCATGGAAAGCGTAAAATGCCTTGTGGCTAGCTATGTCTCGCATGTGACGTCACAAATCTTGACGCTCTACGGAGGACTGCTGAAAATCAGAAAATCTGGATCTCAAAATGAACATTTTTGAGAGATTACTGCGGGCCCAAAACATATTTTGAAGAGGGAAGTTGTTGTATTTGATCAGTAAGGCTTCCCCCTTCGCAATGATACGAAAGTTTCATCTTGCTACAAAGAAAGCATCTATTAGAAATTTAGAATACCCTTTCCAGCATATCTGCAGATTTACATGCCCCAAAATATACCATAAATACATGTATTGGGATTTGGAAAGCTTTGAGTGATAGGAAGCATTAGATGGGAATCACGGTGTTACTAATTATCAATACAAACCATCAACTAATGACAAAACCTGTAGAAATGAATAAACAAGACAATGCAATGGAATAATGTTTTTCAATCTTTATTTATACAAACAAAAAATACATATATTAGAGTGCATGTATGAAAGCCTTAAAGCTTATCTGCACTAGTTTGGCCAGGAGGGATTAGACCTCCCTGCATGGTCACTGACGGGTGGTTACCTCATCAAAAAAGGGGACAATGGGGGACTAATAGTTGAAATACAATATTGATATTTTGCAATTTATAAAGGTATACTGCTGTGAACACGGCCAACATGAACAATTTGAGAAAATTCTGGTATACTGGTAGTTATGCTTTGAAAAGTTGAAATCTGAACTCGTACATATATAATATATTTTAAAATTGGTATCATGATTATACTTCATTTAAAGGATGGGAATTGCATTCCACTGATCACATGGCACAACTCACTGGAGGGGCTGCAACATAAATACATGTAGACAGATATACTGACTGACATGTGAACCTACAAATTACTGACAGGCAAGAAATGATGAATACAATGGACTTGAAATTATTCAAATATTTCCTTTTGAATACTCTTAATACTCTTACAGAACCATTTACAAGCTTCATGAATTAAACAAAAATAATGATAATACATCTCTGCCTGTTTAATAATCAAAGTCCATGTTTCAAAAAGACTTCCATTAGAAAATTGCATTACATTACTTGTACATTTATGAAAAATGTCTATAAAATTTTGTATTGGCAAACATTTCTTTATCACATGATTTATAGATCATACAATCTTACCACTGAATTTCTTGCCTCATAATGTATTTGTTCAATACTCCATGTACAATGGAACATAATTGGTACGTCCTGTCATCCTAAGTATGTCAATCCATACATGATTTTTTTTTTTTTTCCCTCAATTTTTGAAGGCCTAAGAAAAAGTAAAGCAATTCAATATTCATATTAGTTCACACTTTCAAAAATGTCTTTCCTTTCCTGTTCAATTTGTGGTTAACATACCAGTATTCTAAATTGTGGGATTGAAGATATTGGGAAGTTTTCAGCAAATAATTATGGTCAGTGAGTGTATTTGAAGAAACAAAAAGATGTAGCGTTCTTTTTCTTTGGTAAAGCTGCACAGAAATGCAGTATGAAGCTTTGTCAGAGTCATTTACAAATTTCACATTTCAAGGAAATTCACTCCATGGTTGTTACATTTAAATCAACTTAGAACAGGTTTGGTTCATCTTATATTGAATATGTAATAATACCTTTTCTGCCTACATCATGAACTGAACAATTTGATTGCACAGGTTTTAAAAAAGTATTATTACATTTCCATCTACATCACAAATATTACAATTCGATTGGAAAGGTTTTTCCAAATCAAATTGTACATCCATTAAAAACTGCAAACTATTGAAAAGCATTGTGATTGAGCAAGAGCTCACAAAGGGAAAGCTAGATCCTACATCATGAAAATAATATTATGTGAACGTGGGTGCTACTTCAATTTAAACTTGTCTGAATGGTACACCACAAGATTTACTGAGACGTCATCTTCAGATGTTAGGATGTAACAAGATAAGAAAGGATCTAAGTATTTATATACAGTAGGCTTGCGGATGCACCATGTGAGAGAGAGGGATGCCTGAAAAGGACTCTCGGTAATCTTTCTTGAGGGTGTGTAGTCCTGAAAAGGATTGCCAAGTATTGCCAATTTGAGGAGGAAAGATCTAAACCATTCAGTCGTTCATATCAAATCAGTGAAGAACATATCATAGGGTTTTGAACCCCTCACATCAAAGAGTCATTCCGATTCTCCAACAACATTTGATCCATGGTAGAATTCTCTGCAGTACATCACTTACTAATAATTTCATTCTCTTTATATAATCTTTCTGGATGGAACTTGATGAATTTCAGTCGATGCAGAGATGCACAGAATGTCTCAGTTTACAATAATACTGTCATTATAGTTCTATTCAATGATTTTCCAAACGGCCTCATCCATAGGTTCAGACAGACGTGAATCTTGATACAAAGTCTACAAGGGTCCTGACTGGTCGGCCTGCAAACAATAATGAAAAATATGGAGGGAAATGTAATATGCACAAGACAACACTACATTCAAAGCTTGCCATTTGGAGATGAGGCAGTAAACCACTTTTAAAAATTCAGCATCAGCAGTGAAATGAAATGCGTGGGTGTAGTGTCCTTCACATTCCCGCATCATATAGCACAGATCAGAGTGTACACATAGGGGCCATGTTGCATATAGCTGTTTTTATCCCCTTTGCACGTTGAGAACTGTTTGTAATATTTTGTATAAGAATGCAGGGAAACCCTGGTTCAGTGGTCCACCTGCACAGGGTCACAGTAATTCAGTTTGCTTTTCCCACATTAGAGATAGAAATCAACTTGATAAGATTGATCATTCATACCCGACATTCCCTTTCCAAGGTAAGGAATTTCATCTTTGTTCTGCATGACACCTGCTATATCTAGATGGGCCCATTTAGTATTGTCCGTCACGAACTCGCGAAGGAATGCTGCTGCAGTGCAACTCCCACCAGATCTACATGTTGAATCAAGAAAAGTTCATTGGCTAAATTTTAAATTGCTACAACCTCTTTAATCCAATGCACCCCTACAACATCATCACCAAGAACTGAGGTTTAGCCCAGTCCAACATCCAACCACCTTTTCAAAACACCACCCCAACAAGCCCTTATAATAAACTTTGTGCCAACAGGAAGTAAGCTTGCTTCACATTACAAATCTAAGAAATTAACACATTTAAAATAAATTATTAAAAATATTATTTACCGGTAAAAAAAAAATTTAAAAAAAATTTAATTTAAAAAATAAATAAAAATACTGTATTTGCCGGCGATAAGGCCACAGTGCCGCATAGGCCGCACCCCAACTTTGACATTTCAACAACAAAAAAACGGACAAAACTGATACCAAATTCATCCATATTCTTATAATTTACCGTAAGTTTAGCTAAAAAAGTGATCACAGGCAGATTTGGTGTCCGATATATACCCCTACCACAATGTACGGTGTAATGCGAAATTGCATGAAATGGAAAACAAAATGGCGACTTCGGATGGATGCTTCGCGGCAGCTAGCTCCGTTAAATGGTCCCTTCCTTTACTTTTGCAATGCATTGGCACGAACTTAGATCAAGATCTATCAGCAAATGTTGTTTTAGGACGTTTATTTCATCTTCATTTCAACAATGCAAGATAAAATTGTCAGTAAGATGTGTGGAAATGTCCTGTACCATAGTGGTATAGTTATTTTACCGTTCGTAGTCCCATATGTGCAAATTTGTGCTGGTTTTGATTTTTTTTTTTTTTTTTTACTCTTTCGCCGTAAAGGCCGCACCCCGACTTTTTGATATTTCTCTTCCAAAAATACTGCGGCCTTTTACGCCGGCAAATACGGTAAAACAAAAAATTGTTAAAAACTGTCAAGGCGCTCTTAGTTTTGATGATGTGCAGATCACTTCATAGTAGATTGTATGGTACACGAAAGTTTGAGATACCCACCTGCTGTATTTTCCAATATTGCTTACATCAGCTAGATGAGCTTCTGTAACCTGTTTGGTATAGTGATTGAACAATGGCATCCTCCACACACGATCTCCTGTTGATACGCTAGCCTGCAATCGACAAACACAGCAATAATGTTGTTGTTTCAGTAAAATCATATCACACGTTTTAGGTGATTCTAAAACCCTTTCTGCATCCCTGGACAACAACCCCAGAGAACTACCCCTAGAAAACTACCACTTTAGAAAAATATCCCAAGAATGGTACCCCTTTGGAAAACTACCCACTGAACAAGTACTCTCAGAAAACTACCCCTTAGTTAAACTAACACTGAGGACAATTACAACCTGGGGCCGTTTCTCAAAACTGTTTTAAGTCTAACTTCTTAGACATCCCACTGAAACATGTGTCATAGAACCAACACACGTTTCTATGGGATGTCCACAAACTTAGACTTATGATTTCGAGTAACTGGCCCCAGGATAACAACCCCCTAGACATTACCCCCTGGAAAACAACTTCTCAGGACAATTACCCCCATGACAACTGCCCAGACAACCACTTCCAAGGACAATTACCTCCAGAAAAAGCCCCCCTGGACTCAACCGCATCATTCAAGTCATATACAAATATAGAGATTTAAATATTGGCAAATTCCTGGAGAAATTTCAAGCCAGAAATGAATAACTGATATTCATATTTTAGACTCACTTGTTGAAGCATGTCCCATACTTGTTGTGAATTAGTGAAAACACCAGTAGCAGCTGAGCCTAAGGCTACATCAATAGCACCTGCAAAGTAACATAATCAAGGTCAAACCTAATTTAGCAATCACTAGCAGAAAAGAGACCACCTGTATACATACAATCAATATATTTTGTTTTCAAGTGAACAGTGTTTCCTTTTCCTGGTGGGAGTATACATACAATCAATATATTTTGTTTTCAAGTGAACAGTGTTTCCTTTTCAATATTTGCATTCAAGGAAACTGTATGTGAGGACCACTCACCTACAAAGAACATCGTCTTGTACCCCTTGAAAGGTCTTTGTATAAAGGTATCACTTTACCTGAACAAAAGCTGGACACACTGGGATAAATATTACGTCACTGATCGACTTATTAGCCCAGAGGCTCTAATTGTGTGAAGGTATATTGATATATTATTATTGAAAATTTCTCATATTCCATTTTTCAAAGATTTTGATGATGAAACACATTTCAATAATCTGAAACCATGCAGGACAGTACTGTCTTTAAAATCTTGTCTAGTGGGATATTGGCTGCAATGCACAAAATTTGTAGGTGCCTCTAGATCAAACGAAGACTCTCTTGTAAGAATGACTGAAACAGCCTTCTGTCTTCAAGATGGCAAAACCTGTATGTTTTTCACAGCTTATCCCCTACTTGTTGACTAGCATACTTATATGCATATATGACTTAAAGAAACTTACCAGTGAGTGTAGCTAAATCTATGACAACTGTAGGCTTGAAACTAGTGGTTGCATAACATAGCGCATCAGCTAGTAGTAATCTCCCTTCAGCATCAGTGTTGTCAACCTAATGAAACAGGGAACACAGATTACAACAAGGGCTTATCTACTTTTGCAGTATACAGTTAAACAATCCATCGTTTCATAACGTGTAATTAGTTGAGTCTCCATAGACTGATGTAATATTATAAACAATCTCAATGGTCTGTAACTTGAGACTAGCCTTGGTGGAACCATGCACTGAAGTTGACTGCTGCAGGAAGGCTAGATTGGAAGCAATTCATTTTGTCTATCATTTATCAAAAGTGCATGATAAGCAATCTCAAATAACTTGAAGTCAATTTCTCTTAAAATGGAATTTCATTATCAGAACTCTTCATGAGCTTAATTCCATTGATGCAGTGCTCTGACACATGCTTTATCAACACTTGCTCTGAACTTTATCTAACTAAAGATACAGGGTTAGGTTAGCATGGCGAGTGGGTTTTCAGTTAGGTTCAGGAATATGGTTAGGATTAGGCATAGGTTTGAGTCTATGGTTGAATTTTAAAGCTCCCCTAGTTAAAAATTGACTTATTGCCAGAGCACGAGTCATACAATCTAAAACCATTATCATACTTTTTCTGAAGAAACTTGAGTCTTACCTGTATAGTCTTGCCATTCATGGCTGTGACCACATCACCCGGTCTGACTGCTGACCCATTGACCATGTTCTCACACAGCGGTATCAAGCCAACCACATTGACCGGTAGTTCTAGACTAGCCATGGCAAACATGGCCGCTAAGACGTTAGCTGCTCCTCCCATGTCACCTCTCATCAGGTCCATGCCTGCTGCTGGCTTGATTGATATTCCTCCACTGACATACAAATAAAGTACCACAAAGTGCATTGTTTATGAATTAGCTTAGAATGTTTTAGAACAAGAAGATAACAAAGAAGATAACATTCTCAATTTCGATATGAACAACAAGATTTATATATTGATATTTGTACAAATGACCCTGAAATAATAGATATCCTAACCTCAAAAGTGATTTTTAAAGGAAATAAAAACTAAATGTTAGACAAATAAATTAAATGTAATTAATACTTCTTTTGTACTAGAAACACCTACAGAAAGATTTGAAGGTTGGAAGTCATAATTTCTATTAAGTCCTTTAACCAGTTGCAAACTTACAATCTCTTATCTCATTCCCAAAGAACTGTGATTGATATCAATCTCAAGGTAATTTGCATTCAATTATTTTTTTTTTCTCAAAAATCTAAATTTTCTTATTATTTCTAATGTTCTCAAACTTTCATTGAGCTCTTTTTGTAATTCTTCTGCTGTCATCCACACAAGCTTAAGACCAATGGTTGGGCTAACCTTAAAGCCAAGTACAGGTCATCATCATCATTTATTAAAGTCGGCATTTTCCCTCATACGAGGGGTTACTGACTTTCGTGCCATGATGACACTCCCTCCCTCCCCTTATTTGTCTACAGCATCCTCCTCATTACTGTCTTTACATTCCAAGATTATGAACCAAATACTATCACTGTTTTAACACAAGCCTTATAGATATTGCCTTCTATTCTCATCATAAACTTCTACCAGCTAGAAAGGTTTACAATGAGAATGAAATTCAAGATCTATAAGGCTTGAGTTAAAACATAGATCTTGCCTTTTATCCTCATCGTAATAACAACAAATATATTCTTACAGGAACAAACTGACACTGGTTATTCAACACTAAAAATAAATGATATGTACCAAGTAGAAGAGATGAGTTACAAGTAAAGAAAAGAAATGAGGAAATCAAGCTAGTAGGTACCTCGCATTTTGAGCACAAACTCATACGAGTTGTGTTACCTGTGAAATTGATTACAACCAATATTTCATTAGGAAGTTATATCTGATCCACATAACTACCTGATAAAAAAATCAAACTTACATAAAGCTAGGTTCTGGAAATGCAATCCCATCACCACAACTCAAGAAAAGCCTGAATTCATACAGACTACTCCTTCATACCTGTCAAAGGTGACTCCTTTACCGATCAGGACCAGAGGATCCACACCCTGGGGTGCACCATTGTACCTCACATCCATGAATATGGGGGGCTCATCTGACCCCTTGGCCACACTCAGGAAAGCACCCATCTTCTTGTCTGCTGCCCACTTCCTTGAGCTGATCGAACAAAACAATGAATAAAATAATAATATTCCACTTTTAAATAGCGCCTAAAGGTAAAGACCAGTGTTGGAAATGCCCCAATTTCAAAAAATGAAATGGAAGCTCTTATTACCAATCATGTGAAAGAATATGTTTAGACTAATACATGATGATAAAATTTCGCCAGGAAACCGCCTACTAATTGATATATTTGGTAAATTAGTTTATCTATTGGACTGTGAGAGATAAACGCATGTGTCACGCACGTGTGCGTAGTCCCATATACATCTTTCTGTGTACAGTGCTTGTAACTTTACGAAGACTGGGCCAAATTTCTTATCATTTTGATGATTCCAGAACCTTGCAATACACACCAATACTTATATGCTAGATGATCAACCTTTTCTGATCGATTCCACAACGTTTCTTTCACAACGTAATCGCATGACCATAACTGGTCTTTATCTTTAATACAAATGTCTCTAAGCGCTTTACAGATAGATATACTATTACCCCGGTCATTGGATTCAAAACTTGCCCGCACACATTGTTTGCAAAATCTCCACTCCCTGGGGACCATTCCAACCAGGCGTTACTTGACGCTCAAACACTGTTTGACCAACAATGACAGTCGAATCCTACCGGGTACCCATTTAACAACTGGGTGGAGAGTAGCAAGTGCAGGTTAATATCTTGCCAAAGGATATTAGTGCTGGGTCAAGGGATTAATACTGATCAAAGTTAAAGTTTGCATCTTCTAAACTCATTCTTTTGGAGTATACATAAGATGGCAGAGCATAAGGAGCCCAGTTTCAGTTTGCGCACACTGTCTTTATCTTTGCCTAACAGTTCACCCCATAATCCAACTACAACTAAATACGGTTTTAAATGAGATTCCAAATATGTGAAACTTTCCTGAATGACATTTCAAAGAGTGATGGTAGTAGTAAATTTGAGATCAGGGAGTACAGCAACTCATAAAATCAGACTAGTACAGTATGCACCCAAAGGAATCCTTCTTGTTTGCCTAGGAGTATGATTAACGTGTGAAAGCTGTCAGTCTTACTGTGCCTGGATAGTGATAGGTAGATCTGTGCGCTGTCTCTTGTTGTGTGCTATCTCTGAGAATGATGTTGGAGTGAGTTTATTAGCTGGCATCTCCATCAAGGTACGAGCAAAGTTCTGAGCGTTGGCCAGAGTCTCCCCTCTCCTCCAGCCATCATGATACTCAGAACTACAAATCATTCAAAGAAAGAAAAATGGAGAGTTTAAACCCGTTTTAGCAACCACCTGTATAGAAAGATCACCTGCCTATGGGGATATCTTTGTGTCCCTTCAAGAGACTTCAAGACTGCCTATAAAGATCACTTTCCTTGTCTTTCTTGAGAGGTCTTTGCATACAGGTTCAGTGTACATGTATAAGGCAGTTGTTGTATAGGTCATATTATAGCAAGCTTTTAGTTATGTGCATAGGAACCTGTTGTTATCCTGATAAGACATTGCGTGTTGAGAGCCAGAAGGGTCTTGACTCTGTGTTAAATGATATCAACTAATACCCTTCTGGCACTGAACAGATATTGCAATCACATTAGTTACATTTGGTACTAACTGTTCAACTGGCTCAACATAATCTACAGCACTGCAGAGATGCAAACATTACCCAACCCTGGTTCAAAATGATTATTCCTCAAGAGAGCAGTACAACACAATGGCACAACGTAATACTTGTAATAAGACTCACCTGTTATCTTCATTGAGGAGTGATATGTTGACTTTAGGTTTCCTACTGGATTCAGCTTTCAGCTCATCATACTCAAATACTGACAAGAGAGATCCTTCGGCAGCAGCTATGAAGCAAATATCATCAAAATCATATCAGTCATATGAATCAGACTGGCAGTGATATAGCCTGATATAGCAGTCTTAAAAGCGAGAGGTCCTTGAAAGACCCTGATTTAAAAATAATTTGAAGCTTAATGGGCTTACATGTATGTAAAGAATCTATCCATAACTAATTAATCCCTTTGATGGGGCATACACATACAATGTTAAATCCCACAATGACAGGGAGGGGGGGGGGGAATAATTTAGGAAATTCCTTCAAAAAATGTTTGGGACATAAATCAACTAATAAAACAAACACCAAGTAGGGGACACAAATCTCACAACATAACAAACTTAACAGGAAACATTTCCGTCCATTTTTTACTAAAAATTTAAAAGCTAATGGCTAACAATTGTTTTTCACAATTAGGATTACCAAAAGAAATTAGTCTTGAGGTGGAATTCTATGTTGTTAAACAGGGTCTTAGACCTAGGGTGGGGTTTAACTGGATTAGTAAAATACAGATCTTGCAGTTGTTTTGCTCAAGGTAACTTATAGACCATAGTCAAGGAAAAAATACAAGGGAGGCAAACTTTAGTGCAACACACTTTTTGCCTGAAAAGTTCCACCACTTATAAGCTGGTCCAAGCAATTTGAGATAAATTACTGCACAAGTGGACAGTTGCTATTTATTGCTTTAAAAGGCAACATATTACCATTAATTATCATTTGCAACTCAATAATATCGAAAGGCCATTACCTTCAGCGTCACTGCATGGATCTACTATTACTGTCTTGCAACCAGCATCTCGTAACTGTCTAACCCCCGTTGCCACGGCAGTTCGGATATTCTCTCTTCCCTCATCTACTCCCTCCAGGTCATTGACTCCAGCAGACTGCTTGCCAAGGCTTACCACGGCAATCTTGCTCAACTCCTGATCATCATATCAAAATAAAACATATCTTGAGATATGGAGTGAAAACAGAACTCAATTTCAGTAGAAAAATTTCCTATAAATCATTGATTGTTTATCATTCAAAAATGGGTTGTTAGGACAGCATGGTTTTTATGACATTATGATTACTTACTAAAATGGCAAAAACAGAATATGCACAAACATGTGACAACCCATTCAGGGGGGTGTTTCATAAAGCTGTTCGTAAAGTTACGCACGACTTTACGAACGACTTGAATATGAAGTGCCAGATAGGATGGCCAAATTTTTTCTTGATGTTTTAACAAAGTGTGACTATACATTCCAATAACCTCAATTAAATTATGGCAAAAATTATACTTTGCATTAAGAATGTTTGTCATAGTTAGAATTGTTAATCTACGTCTGCACAGTTCAACTTTAGTTAATGCAGTTCAAAATTATTGTGCATCCCATTTGGCTTTTTATACTTAAGTCATTCATAAAGTCATGCATAAATTTACGAACAGCTTTATGAAACACCCCCCTGGACTGAATTAATCAATCCATCAATCTCTTCTGTGTTGTGTCTAAATGCAAGAGTTGCAAACACATGAAATGTTTTGAGTGCAAGCTAAATGTAGCTTCCAAACGTGCATTGCTATGAACATGACCGACAAAGAAAGCGGACAAAATATACAGTTCCTCAGGTAGACAAAGGAACATCCCTTCACTGCTATTATGTAAAAATGTTTAGAACAGGTGTCACATGCATATTCACCTGTTCTACACAGTTTTACATAATAGCAGTGAAGGGATGTTCCTTTGTCTACCTGAGGAACTGTATATTTTGTCCGCTTTCTTTGTCGGTCATATTCATAGTGATTGCTATTTCAGGAAGGTGACAATTATCTGGGTTGATACAAAGAATATTTAAAAGGTGGAGGAGACACAACAATTAAATTGAGCATCTTTAACTTATTGTACATTTTGAGTTTTGGTAATTGAATTTAAAGATATTGGAATTAGAAAGATGGAGAATGCTAATCACCTCATTGAAGTGGCATTTCTCTTCTAACATCATCTCATTTAGAGGAGGATATTTATTATTATTTTATTTGGCAGAAAACACATGATATCAAAATACAGAGTTGAAAATAAACAATTAATAGCAAATCACACACAAAAAAGGAACACTGGGTGCACCCGGCTGTGCTGCCAGGCATTGGGCAAAGTTAACCAAATAACTATAGTCCGCAGACCGCCCTCACCTATATGCAAGCACAATCAAGATGCAATTCAATCTTACCTCATTTAGACCATAGAACACTCTGCCTTTTCCTTTCTTCAAATTTTGACAGTATCTGGAATGAGTAGAGGAAAGTTTGAAAAGGAATGTCATGCGTTGACAAGCCTTTTGTCTGGTTATCACCCTATAATTAACTTATATTAGATACAAAGGAAAATAAACATTTCATTGTTCTTTCACTTGAAATTATCCGGAACTTACAACATACAAGAGACACAAACTAATGGCTTGACCAATGATAATAAAAGATTGATGTTCATGACTAATATCCTTGGAAATGACAAGAAAGAATGAAATACTCATGCATGTGTACAAAATGTATTTGATACGAATGCTTCAATTGAAAAGTACTTAAGTATAACATACCTGTTCACATGTTCTCCTAATTGACCTTGAGTTCGTTCATTGACCTTTGTTGCCTCTGGTGTAAAGATAACGCCATCACTAGCCTCATCTTCATACACACCTACCACTACACCAGACTACAAATGAGAGAGAGAGAGAGAGAGAGAGAGAGAGAGAACCATGCCATCCATTAGGTGTAATTCTCATGCAAATCTTTAGGGTACCCAAAGGTATCCTAGTCTAGTTTTTACACTATACCTTTTTGTTCCTCGTTATAAACCCCAATGGTTCTTCCTTACCAATTCACACTACTCCTGATCCTTATCACGGCATGATGCACACACAGCGATACAAAATGAATGAATCATCGGGTTAGGATGAAGAATCACCCCTTTTTTCCCATCAAAGACTTCTTCAAATTATAAACCAGGACTGGCAGGAGTCGAAATATCTACATTGCAAGTCAAATTGTAACTACTACCTCTTTACATTTCAAAAAAAATGTGACCCAGCCCGCTGTTTGAATCGTTTTTATATGCGGGCCCGGCTCTGGAGTTATGTTTATAGAGACAGCTGAGCCTGTCTGTAACTCCAGGGAGCTCCGATCCCGGGCCGGTGTCGGAGCCCCCTGGACGGCTGTAGTTACTCGGCCAGGCTGAACTCGAGAGTGAGGCGCGCGTCTGCGACTGGTACTGGTTCAACTTCATACAAAAAAAGACACACACATCACCCTTTTCAAGTCCAAACTACCATTACCTCAGCATTTACAATAGAAGAGTAGAACCTCCCCCATCTTTGACCATTTAATGAGTGATATCGGCTGTGTAAGATGAGACGTCGACAGAGTCGCATGGAAGCTGCCATCTTGGATGATGCATTTGCGCATGCGTGAAAAAGAGGATCTATCTAACTAGCTAGCTAGCTAGCTAGCTCGCTAGCTCTATCTAGATCTATATTATGTTGACAAAGTCAGAGAGATAGGAAATCCAACCTTGATAGCAAACTAGTCTACTCTAAAAGAAAGAAAACCAAACCAAAAAATCAGAAAGTAGACTGGTAAAAGTTTCAATTAAATTGGACAAAAGTGAGAAACTATGAATTTTTGACACTTTGTATATATCACAATAAAATATATAGGCTGAGTCGGATGGCCAATTTTTTTCTGTGATATAGTGGCGAACAACTTTCCCATTTTTTGGCCCTCGAAAATTTGCAAAATGCGCTCAAGGAGGGGGGGGGGGGGCCATCTCCTAAAAAAGGTAAAATTCACGTGTTTTTACACGTTTTTTCACAGGAGAGGGGCGGGCCCCCGGCCCCCACCCCCCCCCCGGATCCGCCACTGGAGAAGGCACTTGGGAGAAAAACAGAAATTACTTATATTTGTCTACACAGAGCAAAGTGCTTTGAAAGTTCTTGTATCACTTTCAAAAGGAAAAATTACCTGTAACAGATCCGATGTCTAGAGTTCAGACATTCTCCTCAGACGCGAATTGGTAGACCAATTTATTACAACCATCCTCATAACACTCTTTCATATAATATCCGTGACTATGTCACAATCCACTGACCCGGAAACTACCGATATACGCAGATTCGCATAGTGATCTCATATGTGATACATTCATAACTTTCTGTCCGATATATTTCAAACTTCCTCCATTCTGTTTATCTTATTGCTCTGCTTTCATATTCAAGTGAAATTATTACAGGAGTTGGATTGCCCATTAGCCATATAATATTACAATAAATAATGATCCACTGTACAAGGAGATATTGTTTTACAGCGGCAAAGATTAATATGTGTATTTTCTAGAACTCCGAGCAGACTATACTTTGCTCAATATTTATAAGACAATATTATCTCTATGCTAACAACTTGAACTTTGTTCCTAAAAGTTTTAAATGTGTTTAACTTTTTTCCCCTCTTCTTCTTTTCTTCTTCTTCTTCTTCTTCTCCTTCTTCTTCTTCTTCTTCTTTTCTTCTTCTTCTTCTTCTTCTTCTTCTTCTTCTTCTTTTCTTCTTCTTTCTTCTTCTTCTTCTTCTTCTTCTTCTTCTTCCTTCTTCTTCTTCTTCTTCTTTTTCTTCTTCTTCTTCTTCTTCTTCTTCTTCTTCTTCTTCTTCTTCTTCTTCTTCTTCTTCTTCTTCTTTGTATTATTATTATTGTTATTGTTATTACCATTAAATTAATGGCATCAATAATTATCATTTTCATCATCATCATCGTCTTCATCTTCAGGTGAGTAGGGTGGGGGTAAGGGGTAGAGTTTTTTTTTTTTAATTTTAGTAGGTGTAGGTGGGGTTGTGGGTGGTGTTAGAGTGCGTTGTTTTTTTGTTTTTTGTTTATAAATCTTAGCTTAAAGGTAAAGACCAGTTATGGTCATGCGACTTTGTGAAAGAAACGTTGTGGAATCGATCAGAAAAGGTTGATCATCTAGCATCTAACATCTGCAAGGTTCTGGAATCATCAAAATGATAAGAAATTTGGCCCATTCTTCGTAAAGTTACAAGCACTATATACACAGAAAGATGTATATGGGACTACCCTATATCTCTCACAGACCATGAGAGAAACAAATTTACCAAATATATGAATTAGTAGGCGGTTTCCCGGCAAATTTTTTATCATCATGTATTAGTCAAAACATATTCTTTCACAGTCATGATTGGTAATGAGAGCTTCCATTTCATTTTTTGAAATTGGGGCGTTTCCAATACTGGTCTTTCCCTTAAAAAACTTAAAATTTTCATTATTCGTACGTAGTTCACAAATGTAAATTGTTATGTATATGTAATTTGCTTTCTTTCTGTAATGGAACATCCATGTCCTTTGTAGAGGTAATCCCTTACAAAAAAACCTAATGGTAAATGAATGGTGTTTGAATGGTAGGATCAATGGTAAATGGTATTTCAATGGTGTGCCAATGGTGGATTCTGTATGGTGAATGGTGTTTCAATGGTGGTGTATGACGATGAATGGTGTTTCAATGGTAGAGTCTGTATGGTAAATGGTGTTTCAATGGTGGAATTGTATGGTGAATGGTGTTTCAATGGTGGCGTCTGTATGGTGAATGGTGTTTCAATGGTAGAGTCTGTATGGTCAATGGTGTTTCAATGGTGGAATTGTATGGTGAATGGTGTTTCAATGGTGGCGTCTGTATGGTGAATGGTGTTTCAATGGTAGAGTCTGTATGGTCAATGGTGTTTCATTGGTGGAATTGTATGGTCAATGGTGTTTCAATGGTAGAGTCTGTATGGTGAATGGTGTTTCAATGGTGGAATTGTATGGTCAATGGTGTGCAAGTGGTGGAATTGTATGGTCAATGGTGTTTCAATGGTAGAGTCTGTATGGTGAATGGTGATTCAATGGTGGAATTGTATGGTCAATGGTGTTTCAATGGTGGAATTGTATGGTGAATGGTGTTTCAATGGTGGAATTGTATGGTCAATGGTGTTTCAATGGTAGAGTCTGTATGGTGAATGGCGATTCAATGATGGAATTGTATGGTCAATGGTGTGCCAATGGTGGAATTGTATGGTCAATGGTGTTTCAATGGTGGAATTGTATGGTCAAAACTAGGTGTCCCTTATACTTTGAACTACAATTTGCTCTGTGATTTCGCTTTATTTTTCGCGAATTTTTCTTCATGATTAACGTTTCAAAGCTGACAAACTGCAAGGAATAATACCCTAGTCCTCTGGAACAAGGATGGATCTTTAGTTTTTTCTTCAATTTGGAGCAATTTTGGATCTGATATGTGTCTCTTTGCCGTGAGTAACTGCTGTTTTGTGCCTGTGGTCCCACTCATATGACTCTGTGATGTACATTATTATACATTTGCTTACATGAACATCTGTTATTTTTAATTAAAGCAGCTTATAAATCATTCTATTTTATTACAAAAAATTAAAATATTACAGTATTAGGGGCACACCTTTAGAACTTTTATCAAGTTATTTATCTGATCGTAAACAATTAATCATTAATGAAGCTGCATTGTACGGAACTAGTGCTAATATCAGGCCACCTTTGTCAGGGTAATTCCACCTTGCGCCTAGTGGAGCCTAGTCCCATTACAAGCATTTTGTGTTCACTGGTTTGTCATCATCATGGTTCTTAGCTGTTTTTAAAATCGATGATTAGTTTTGGCACTAAATACCTATGACATTTTTTAGGAATAATGTTGAGCTTATATTACCAAAATTTGAAAAATATTAAACGTTTGATTAATCAAACTAAAAGGGTGTGAATTGAAGTAGCATATTTGTAGGCTAAACCAAAATTTATCTCATGACGAATGAGTATAATCTACTCATCGTTCATTCAATTCTAGTCCATATTGGTAATGGAGATCCTAAATAATCTTTCAGCCTATATCAACTAAATCTAACGAGAAGAAAAGATGATTAATGAAGAGAAATCAATAACTGACACAGTCATCACAATATGCGTGCATACAAAATTTGGTTCAGCCTCCTAAAATTAGAATTTTTGTAAAATATCATTGTAGCTGGATAAATCAATGTTGAATATTTTGACAATTTTTTTCTCATACAAAGATGGTAACATTTCCTAACCTCTAATAATTATTGAGTCAAATCAACCTAATCTATTTAAAAACAATTATTACAAACCATGATGACTATAAACCAGTAAACATTCACAAAATACCCTAATTGGAATAGGCTCTACTAGGCACAACGTCAAACAACACTTGGAGATAACCTTGACAAAGGCTTCTTGCTAGTCCAAGTATAATGTAATCAGAAGTGTAGCTGCTTTTTCATTAGATGTTTCTGTTGCATATTGGAAGCTAGTATTATGTGAGTATTTTTCCAAGAGTAAACAGTCATAACTAGCTCTCCAGGTTGGGTAGAAAATTACAAGCAAATTGTAGATCTAGCTCTGTCAAAAAAAGAATAACGAATCTTTAAAAGTTTTTATGCTTCCACAACGAAGTGGCAAGTCCCTTTAAAAAGGCTGAAATATAATTTCTTTGGGTTATACTTACATACAAAATTTTACATTTGAATTTTGTAACATTGCTAAGGAAAGTCTGAATAATATTATGTTTGAATAGTGTACTATGTTCCAAATGATTGCCTTATTGATGTTCAAGTAAACCCCAAAGTAATGATATTTATATTGATGAAGCAATAGTCTACACACAGATGTTTAACTCAGCCAAATTACCTGTACACTAACTGCCACTTCTAAATTTTCCATTCTTTGGTGTTTCTTAAAATTTTGTTAGAACTCTGAATGAGCACCTGTCATGAGCGACTTGACATGTCTGGGGATGTTTTACTGTGGAAATGCTGACATCTATCTGGTCCCTTGTTTCAATCGAATTGGTCACTGTTTTTGGTGAAGTCAGTAAACAACATTCACAGATTGATCTTAAAATCATCTTTTCTTGCCTCTTGTTGCCAGCTAGTAATGTCTCCACATCTTGCCATGGTACAGTTAAAGGGATGGTTGAGTTCTGTTGCAGAGGGCGCTACACAAAATAATTTCTTTGTGAGATAATGGAAAACTGAGTGTCAAATTAGAAAAAAAATACTATTTAAATGACAAAAATTCATCTTTGTTTGAACAAAATCGGTTCAGAGATGGCTGAAATATCCATAAATATAACGATTTCTAATACTTCTGTACCACCGCAAATATTAGATAATTTAGCGCCATTTACGTTGTATTTCAGCCAATGCCGATGTTGGCTTTTTTGTAGGCATTTTCGTGTTGGTTTGGTACGCACAACCAGCCGGCCCATGTATTGTTATTTTTAATTAAATAATTAATTAACGGTCACCATATTTTTGTTAAAGTGGAGCTGAATTGGTATGATCGTATTGGCTAAATTTCACACGTTTTGGGGTCTAAAATTACCTTCATAGCAAATT